CACGATACCAAGAAAATGCATGAAAATGATGCTAGGCTAATGGCACGTACAACAGGTAGTTGGCAAAGTCATTAGATGTTTAGAAATGGCTTATTTTGCTTTGGAAAGTCTTAAACATTATCCCATTTGAAGCCACTATTTTATTTCTTATAGCTGCACCAACTTCACACTATAAATTGTCCATTTGCTATTGTTAAAAATGAATTAATTAACAGTCATTTTGTCCTTTCAATGGACCCCAAAATCGGACAAAATTCACCAATACCAGACAATGACTGGCATGTCTTGCAGTTTCCACATCATTGCCTACATGCATGTATATATACCCTTTACCATAGAAGGAGTTCCATATGTACATGTACATATGATTTCACTTTTTATCATTTATTTATTTATTGCTATCATGTGATTTATTCCAGGTCTCTGATTGGTCGCTCAGTGTTCCTGGTAGCCGCCACCTTACGTCCAGAGACAATGTTCGGTCAGACCAACTGCTGGGTCCATCCTGATCTGGATTATGTGGCCTACGAATTGACTTCTGGGGAAATATTCATTAGTACTCGGCGCTCGGCTCTTAATATGTCGTGTCAGGGGTTTACGAAGGATTTTGGGAAGGTTGAGCCAGTACTGACACTAAAGGGAAAGGTAAGACTAGGAATACACTGTATAGAAGGAGGGAGTTGAATTTGGTGAATTTGGCGTTTTGATAGCCATTTGCCAAAATAAAATCTGCCATTTTGAGCCATTATACGGCACATGACCATAAATTTGCAATTTAGCAATTCACCAAACTTAACTCCCTCGAAAATTTCGTACTATATGGTACTGCATCTTGAGACATCCTTTTATATCATTGAGAAAAGCTTTTGAATGAGGAATAAATGGGAATGTGTATGTGTACTTATGCATGTACATTTCTATTCCTCTCTCAATCTTTTTCTATTTTATTCTCCCTATACAAACCTCCTCCTCCTCCCCCTCCCTAGGATATATTAGGATTATCATTGAAGGCTCCATTGACCTCATATGATGTCATATATACACTGCCAATGCTCACTATAAAGGAAGATAAAGGTACATGTGTATGTCACATGAGGGTCACATGGGCTCTGTGGGTGTCCATATATACACATGCATATTGTTATATTAATATTCAAATAGCTATCAACTAAAAATAGAATAACTACAGCAGACAGCAAAAGTAATTAGTAGTAGTTAAAACAATTAGGGAGAGTAGCAGTAATTACTAGAACAACTATTTGTAGTAATCAGTAGTAATTAGTAGGAAAGGTATACAGTTAGGACACAATGTTTATCAGTTTTGTTGTTAGTTGAAATATGAATAGTTATTGTTATTTCTTCTGGTGTTCCCTAGTAGCCTATCTCTTTCTGTTGGGCCATTAATAGATGCACCTTGTCTTGTATTGTATTGTTGGCCATTATTATACTGCGCTCCTCCATCATTAGTGGTTACCTTATGGTAGGCAACTTGAGCAATTGTCTGCATCTCATCTTCATTGATATTGTTCCTGTATTCTTCGGTACCATAGTGATACATATCACCCAGTGCCTTCTTGCATTCTTGTTCTGCCAGTTCCAATAGAAGATCAACTTGAATTTGATGATCCTGGACTCTGCTTCTTAATCTGTTTCTTATTTCTTCTAAAGCTCTTTCTTCTTCTCCTTGCTTTTTCTCCACTGCCTCCTTTACAGTGATCTTTTAGGGATTTTGATCTTTTTAGAGTAGGGAATATACATAA